CTTTCCATGAGTCAGCCAGCTGCCGGTGAGCGCGAGCACACGCAACGAAATTGCCGTCATCATATCCCCCATTCAAGCTGGATATGATGACGTCAATTTCGTTGCGTGTGCTCGCGCACACCGGTGCCTGCTCACTCATGCAAAGATAGTGCGCCACTTATTATCGACACTGAAACAAGAAGGGGTGTACCTTGTAAGGGGGGGGGGGGGGGGGTGCAGGGAAATCACTGCTGGAGTCGATCATATGCCCCTGTGGCGGTCTCCTCAGCGCCAGTCACACCGACAAGCAAAAAGTGCGGTCCACGCGGCAAGAGCAGCGCGGCCCCTTCTCTTGCGGGGTGAAAATAATGAGAACGCGGCCGCCCCAGCGGAGGGTCATAAAACAGGGCCCCCGCGGGGCTCGCCGCTCGGTCTCTTCCGTGCTGCCGCCTGAGAGGACAATAAACAGAACCGTTTTGTACAAACACGGAGTCAGACGTTTTTCCTTCGAGTCGTCAAAAATCTCAGAGCACTGCCCCACATTCCCAATGTTGATCATAGCCACGTGCTGGGGTTAGCAAAGCACAGGACACGCGCTGAGTTCCAGACATTAGGGAGTTTTAGCGAGTCGTTTTTCGAGCATACGGTTCCGAAATCACGAACGGTGCAGCTGGTCCGTTCCGTAAAACCGTACGTGAAATTTGACATATTTTAGCGAATCGTGAGACTGGCGCAACCATGTAAACGATGATGATGATAGTGTTTAACGGTGGCGCCATCTTCTAGTAAACATGTGAAACATTCTGCAACGTGTAAGTCTGTGGCCGCTCGTGTTTCCGGCGTACGCCTGATGTAAACAAGACGGCCGAAGTAACATTTGCCGGTCGGAATTTCAAGATTTGCGAAGCTAGATAGTGTAAAAGGTATCTGAACGAGCGTAAAGGTATGTGGTGTGTAACGTTACTAGAAGCACTCAGTTGGGAACTGCCATAGAGACAGCTTTGAAAACGTGGCCCCGATCTGTCCTCCAGAACCTAGCTAATGGCGAACACAACGCCGCCATTTCTCCCGCAGCGGCCACTGGAGGAACTGGACGTTACTTCTATTTTGGCTTTAATCGGCCATTTTGGCGCCAAAAGAGATACAGCGTAAGAGGTTACAGGGGTGCCATCCCCGTCTCCCCAGCAGGGACGGCGCCAGGCTTTTCATAGTGAGGGGGCAGTGGGGAGGCGCATGGCATTTTTTGGGAGGCATTGGCCTTCGATCCGACTAAAAGAACAAATATTCAGGGACGATGACTTGGCGCTTCGGGAGTTTTTAATAGAAATCAGCTCAGTTTATTTCATTATTTTACAACCTATCTACAACTCTGGTTAATGTAGGATTTCACGTGCAAAATATTCAGGCAATATCTGCTCTTTAGGCAGTCCCCTGCTTCGCGGAAAACCAGACCACGTCAGCGATCATGTAGATGTAGTGACGATTCTCTCTTCTCTGCTGAATACGCCTGGCAGAGGTACGCGGCGAGTGATTTAGCTGCGCCACTCTTCATCTGGTTGAAGGAAGCCGATGATGTTTGGGACACCCTGCGTGTTGCACTGTTGGAGTAGCGTCGTAGACCGCCTTCCTTTTGAGGAACTTTCTTCTAGTTTCGACAGCCCTCTGTCAAAATACAGCACTTCAACTGTTTTGCTCCCTCCCTCCCTCCCTCCTCCCCCCCCCCCCCCCCCCCCTCCAAATACACAAACACTTTCAGCTTTCCTCCAACCTCCTGGGATAGCCCTTCGATCGACTCCGTGCCCCAGGGTCACTAATGATGGGAGCGTGGCAGTTCTCGAACCGCCAGGCTCCGACCTATACCCTTTTCCAAGCACACACAGTCGCCATCACCAAAGTTGCTGCAAGGACCCCATAGAGACTTGAAATAAGCAGGATGGCCTAGACACATCAAAGCCGCCCCTTAATTGGGAACTCGCCAGTCGGCCCAGGCGTCTCAGGAATTTGGAAGATTTCCTCGGTCAGAACATGAACAGTGCCCTCGAGTTCCTTTGTCTGGCAGGTACGAAGCGACGGCGCAGTGCAGATGGGATTCTAAGCCTCTCCGAGTAATCACTTGGGTGAAGCTACTTTCAGGAAGCCTTTTATGGTTGGCGACAGAGGAATTGAGTGGTAGACGACGCTCCTTAGCTTCGGCAAGCCATACCGATATGCATGCATCGTTCTTCACGGGGTACAAAATAAAGCGGACGGCGCGAAAAAGTTGAAAACGTCCGGTATGAGGCCTCTTTAGGCTGGCTATCTTTAAACCAATGCCTTTTCCATGGGACGAGGAAATGAGGAAAATGACGAGCCATGTAGCGTATGCGGGTCTGCGCGCGAAAATTAGGGTGAGGAGGGGAGGTGTAAAGGCTGGCATATTTTTGGGGTGGCAGGACAAATTTTAGGGGAGGCGCCCGCGACCCCTCGCCTCCCATTGGCGCCGTCCCTGCTCCCCAGCAGACGCGCCGCGAATTACTACCAAAGTTAAAATGCACATAGGTCGGGACGCGCTACCTGAAAGCACCGCTGAGGCATGGTTGTATAAAAACAATATTAAGTGTTCCGCAAAAAATTGCAAACTAAATATTATAGAAACATCACGCGCCCTTCATTTTGTATTAAACTCGAAAAACTTAATAAAAAAAGTCTTTTCCGTTTGTTTTTACGCAAAAACAGGCTTTCTAAAAGCACAATGTGACCACAGTACAGACAAATGACAAAGAGTGGCGCTGTTGTCGTATTTAGCTCGGTCTCGGTGGACGCCAGCGGCCCAGGTTTCGAAGGCGAGTTTCCCAACGGAGTGTTTTAGTGACGTTGGTGGTGTGTCTTCGCCATCTTGAAGTTGAACTATCGTTCACGTTGTGTGCCATCGAACCAAATCATTTCGTCTGCTCGCGGTCGCCACGGCAGCTAGTCTGCCCGCAGATCGCAAATATTTACTCATGCGCAGTTTACAGCATTTACGATTGCTTACCATTGTAAGCAGTCCTCGAAATGATTTGCTCCAAACTCTCGAATGAAGCAGAGTAACAGGATGGAAAATCGCCTCCCGCTGTCCTAAGCCTAACGCTTGACGGGGTCGGCGAAGTAAATCGGCGAACCGACCGCCATCTTCTTTCTTTTCTTCTTTTTTTTTTTTTACGCGAGTCGTGAACGGTGCTGGCTGCGTTGCGCTGACGACTCCAGCGGCCGGAATGGGAGAAACGAACGAGAAGAGCCTCCCGACGCCCCGAACGACTCGCGCGCGCATGCGCAGTGACGTCGCCGATGCGTTCGAGGGCGAACCGTTCGCGTGGAAACGACCTGCTAAAATTCGGCTACGGTCGTCATTGCAGCTACTGGACACGGGCAGTGGCACGGGCCACCACCCGTATGCTTGTCGAGCTATTGATTATCACGAGCTCAGATAAAGTGCTCACGCAATGCTCGGGTCCAATCTATGAGCCGCATTAAATATCGTCATTGTGGGATACTGCGACCCCGAGGCTACCAGCATCAAGTTTTGCAAAGGAGAAATGGAAAGAAAACGCTCATTTTTGTCCTTCCTTGAAAATGCGCCGCAACAAAGGAGTTTCTAGTCAGTTAGTTGCGTGCGAGTATACTTGGGTGCCACTATACTCTGTTTCCCCTTATGATGTACCGGAGGAAAGGCTACAAGCGCGAGCTCCTTTTTCTAGGGCACATCTCGGCGGCACAAGCTCTCGTGCATTAAGGGCAGCTGCCAACGCTGTGAGCTCGCGCTTCTAGCCTTCGCTGCGGTACAACATAAGGTGAAGTGAAAAACGTTCCAAGCGAATATCTTTGCACCGCCCCTTTAACAGCCTTGGTCTCGTCCGCATGCATTGAGATTCTTGCGCACCAAGCAAAACGCAGGCGGACACTACAATGGGCATAAAAGAAAGAAAGAAAAAAATGTTGGGAAACCAATTTGGTACAACTTCGTGAAAAGATAGGGCTAGTTCAATTCGCCTCAAGATAGAACCGTGTCGCTACCGTGCGGCCAAAATCTGTAACATGCGAAAGCGGGCATGGCCTCCGATGTCCCGCGCGCTTCGGGATCTCAGAGGCCATCAAGCGTAAAGCCCCTTTATATGGAAAAGTCGCGACATCCTTTGAAGAATGCCGCCTGCTATCTTGGGCCAATCCAAGCGGCGCTACAGTCGACGCGCCGGTGTAAAAAGCAAATCATAAAGACAAAAGGTGTGGGCGTCAGAGGAGGAGGGAGAATGAATGCCTATGCTGGGCGGAGTGCAGTGCATGTTATGAGTTCATGTTACCAATCAAATAACGCCGACTGTTCAACAATTTCATTGTCTTTCTTAGAGCACATTCTTCAAGGCTGGTAGACCGTGACAGTGCGCTTTTAGCCTGTGTGTATGTATTTGCGTGTCTTTCAGCCTTTGACTGGTGGCGCTACAGTTGACGCGCGGGTGTGAAAAAGCAAAACATTATGTTAAAGGTGTGCGCGTCAGAGGAGGAGGGGGATGATGTCGCTACCTTTTTTTATTTGGGGGATTTAATCAAGCGGGGATACCGCCGTGCGTCGTCTGCAACCGGTGCTCTTCCAGTGACATGAATCTCGACGACGCAAGCCCGTTTCCGGCCGAGCTGGAACCCTCCCTATTACCGTATATGCTTGTGTTTCGTTGTTGTCTCTTCTTGCTAAAGGTTGTGTTGTATCGTTTCGCACGCGTGGAAATTCAGCAAAGCAATACATATTAAGTCGAATGCTTCCATAATCTTAGTGCTGTGGTTTGTAGAACTGCTGGTTCTATATATTTTTGTTTTCTTTCGCAATCCATAGGTTTCATAAAACATTGAATGGTGATTGGAGCTGGGTGTTGAATAAAAAATTAACCCGACTGGTCGCACTCTTCTTTAATAGACTCATCAATTGATCAATCCGTTGGTTCATTGATGTCCCATTTCAAACTTGAGGTTGTGACGCCTATAAAGTATGCACACGGAAGCCTTTTCAAGTGAAGACATTTTTAATTTATTATTTAAACAGTATAAACACCCTCGATGACAATCACAAACAATTCACACAGAAATGGTTTACCGTGCACTGACTCCTAAAAGAAATAAAGACCTCAAGAATATAAAAACAGGCATTTCTTTTACTTTTTTCTGTTTTTTTTTTTAGCACAAAACTCCAACTAAACGAGAAAGAAAAATATCGTAATCAATGCATTACTCGCATAATCTGAACAATAACCAAATAACGTCCGCATGTGTTTTCGCGTTGTCACCGATTGTTTTTGTCAAAAGCTGTATTTGAAGTAACAAATAAAAATAAGAGAACAATGCAAACCCTGTTTGCGTTTACGTCACGCACGAATCGAAGGTTTATCGCTGCATCCGCAGCGATAAACCTTCGTTCTCTTGGTCGAAGCGCGGCCGCTGGTTTACTTACATGGGCTAAGCTCTTTGACGGTCGGGTCTCTGGTTTCGTTTTCTCGCCGCCGCCAAGATGGCGGACGTAGTTCTCGACGCGCTACTAGATGGCGCTTTACATTTCGCGTATAATTTATTGTGTTTCAAGGGGAAAAAAATTGTGTCGTACGTTTATACAGCCTGAAGTTATGTGCCTCAAGGGACAACTTCTCTCTCAGCTATAGATGAGCAATTTAGACAGAAATTGCAGTTTGCAGGTGTTTATAAGGCCCTTTTGTAAGCGTGAATGAACGCACAGATAGAGGTGGCTACACCCCTGGGACAACTTTCTGTGGCATTTTTGACGAGAGGAATGCACATGCACAGTTCGTGCAAGCGGTCAATATAACTTTGACCGCATCGCCAAAGAAAGTTGTCTTCGAGTATAACAGCCATATCTTTGGAATCTCCAAAACACGGCTGCTGCCAAGTCCAGTCCTGTTAAAGGTAAGAAAATTTCGCTGCGCTGTACAACCCAAACGTAATAACACAGTGGAGCACCAGCAGTGGAACTCTGAAAAGTACCTTGAATAGTTAATGCTTGAAAACGTCGCTTGTTACTATCCAGATACTGTGTCGTTCCTTCTCTTCTTGCCATTCACTTCGACATCAGAACCTGGGTATCACATCTCCCCATCTATTTATTGGGGTTTCTTGATTTATTTCGTCCCTGCGCTAATATGTTTTTTTGAACCTTTCAATGTTGAAGGTGATTTCTAGAGATCATTTCCAGCCGTTTTTGACATTGGGACGAAGAAACAAAAATGCATTTTGGGTTTTCAGTGCACCTTTAAAGCCCTAATAGTGGGGCACTTTCGCATCTCCAAATCTACCAGAATTATTTGGCATAAATAACTTCTGAAAAGAGAAACAAATCTTTTGTTGCAATAACGAGGCACTCTTATCGCATTACTTAAAAGTCAGTGAAGCGAACACAGTGTCACAATTAAACAGTCCTATTTAAGGATGTTCACGGGAGTTGGGCTGCCGTGTGTGTCTTCCTTATACCATAAAAAACAAATATATATATATATCTTCAGATTGATCCAGTTATTTCTTGGTGTTGTACGCTCCTTGGATGCACCCATGGTAGATCCGCTGTGTGCAGAAAGGATGTTCGCCCTGGCTCGGAGCTCGACCGGCCTCGCGACTGCAGCTGTAGCTGCTGCTGATGCCCGGTCGGCTCTGCGAACTGCGCTCCGTCGGAGGACGGCGTCGGGTGGCCCCCGACACCGAACTCGTGGTTTGGCAGGAGCTGGTTTCGGATGTCCGGGAGTCGTCTGGACAGTGCCGCTCCGGCCAGGCACATCACGGTCACCAGGGCCAGGCTCGGCCGAGGGTCCCAGAGGTCTGCGTCGGCCTGAAGAGAAATTGCTCGCTGCACTGGTGAGTGCAGGCATCCAGTTGGTGAGTGCAGGCATCCCTGCCGGGCGTTTAAAATAGTGGCTGCAGGATGAATTTTCGGAGCACGTGACCGACTTTTTATTTGTATATGCTTTATTTTGAGTGCAACACAAACAGCGCTAGGTCTTTTTAGTGGTGCACTAAAAAACGTAACGTCCAATCCACAAAACAAAGGTCTACACTTTGCGGGGAAAAGCGCATCGTACCCGCCGCCACTGTTCCGTGCTTATGCAACAAATATTTGGCATCGAATCCGTTCTTGGCGAGAAGAGTAAGTTCGATGGTGTGAAATGTATGCTGCAGAAGGCACGGGTGCGGAGCAATGGCGGCTGATGTGACGTCAATGCAAGAACACTTCAAAACGCGCGTAGCGCCACTAGCGGAGGAGCTGAGCCTGCGGCGCCTTTTCGCACGCGAAGCTGTGGAGGTGAAAGCGCGCACGGACAGAACTTTGGTTCTTTGAGCCGATACGTCGAGGGTGACGTTGCATGAGGGCTGAGGCAGACTTAAGAAGGTCATCTAGCTTCTTATATATCCCAAGATATATAAGAGGTTTCTTACATATATCCATGCTTATATATCCTAGGAAATGGATTTTACATCTATCAATCACAGTGCATGCTGGCTTCCGACGATAAACCTTCCCAGCTCCTAGAAGGTGCAACCGCTGCACTTTTTCTACAAATCGACGAGGCGTTGATATATTAATATTAGCCACCATAAATTCATTGAGTTCAGGGTGGAGAATAAAGATTAAGATAATTTAAATCGTGATTTAAGCCACGAATATCACTATGATCACAACTAATTTCATAAATATGTTTTGATTGGTGCGTAATTTGATGCCGCCCATGTAAACTTATTGTTTTTAATTAAAAAGAAAGACAGGAGGACACTCAAGACTTCTTACGCGTAGGAAGGCGAAATGCCTTACAGTCCCGCGGGAGAAATGTTTTCGAGTAATGTTTCGAGAGATTGACACTAAGTATGGCGTCTAGGACGACCTATACGACGACATCGAGGACGGCGTCTAGGATGACGCCGAGGACGACCTGAAGGACGGCGTCTAGGACGACCTTTGAAACGACGTCGAGAGCGACGCCTAGAGGACGACCTCAAGGACGACACTTAGAGGACGACGCCTAGGATGACCTTAAAGGAGCGGTGCAACGATTTTCAGTCTTTGGCCAATTAACTGCGGAAATAAATCTGTGTCACCGATGGAACGAAGAACAGAAAACCGCATTTTCTTACGAGCGCTGGTTTTTATGTAAAAAAAAAAAAAAAATAAAAAAAATAAATAAAAAGAAACAAATTGAAGGTCAAAGTGCCTCTCAACTCTCCACGTCGCCTTCCGAGTGACGCACTCTGGGGGATTACGTGGTTTCCACTTGGGTTCACTCTTCAGATACCCCAGCCGCCTCCTCCGCGATTATCGACTTCTAATGGCGAATTCCACTGGTCGTTTTGGAGCGCGCCGCGATCGACTTTTCTGGAGCGAGCCTATTTCACTGGGCGATCGGGATCGAGAAGGACGTGTTCGTATGGTCGTTTTGGATTAGCTCCCGCTTCAGATCTCGATCTGGATCCGAGAAAAGTCGCTCCCACGATTCCGGCGGATTCAACCGGAAGCCAGCCGGGCCAGCCCACGGCGCACACACGTGACTTCCTTTCTCGCGGGGCATCTGGCCTGTTCTCGCCTCAGAAGAATTCATAATGGCCACTTGGTTACCCCCCGCCTCGACAGGTTCGATTTCCAGGAAGGAGAAGAGAAGGTTTTGCCGCGCTACGGGCATTCCGGCAATCTTTGCTAGAAGCTCCTGAGCCATTCCTGCCGCTCGTGCGTCGAACATTGCGAAAACGTCTTCGAAACGAACGCGGCGGCCGCAGAAGGGGGATTCCCGGGCAGTTGAATCACGGGAAGGCATCCGCCGATCCCGGAGTTGTGGGGATGTTCCACTGGGAATCCGTAGGCGGCGCGACCCAGTTCGGATCGTGTGCTCCATTCCGGATCTGGTCAACTCATCCCGGCGCGCTCGGAAACGCCCAGTGGAATTCGCCATAAAGGATTAACATCGTCGAAGGTCGCGGCGAGCGATCGACACAAAAGACGGTTCGCCACGGGGGTGACGGCGAGTGTAACAGTGGAGGGGGACAGGTTTTGTTCACTTCCGCGTATCCCGCAGAGTACGTCACATATGCCTATTGAAGTTAGCATCGCCTGTGTTGCTTCACTCGACGTCCGCAGCGTAACTTATTGCCGCCGCCGACACCGAAGTCCTAACCGCTCTGATGAACGCAGACTCGTACATAACGCGTTACAAGTAATGGCTTACTTTGTGGCAGGGGGGTAAAGGTGGGTGAGGAGGAGTGGCAAATCCCGTGCGCCGACATCCTGGGTCCCGAGTGAACGATCGCAAAAGAGAGCGACAGAACACGAGAGAAAGAAAGCAACGTTGCCATGGTAAACGCGAAGAGTGAAACTCTCAGCAATATAAACAGTGATAATTTAACGTTGTAAACTAAATTCTGAGCTATTCTAACGCTTATAAAAAGCAATAAAGTCATTACGCTGCATTAACTTCCATTCTGTCGAAATCTCAGAAATCTGGTGGTTGCGCAGTTTCGTATTCCTCAACCGCGCCCATCCGCGCCCCACTTGCGAAGCCGGGTATATGGTTTAGTTTAGCGTTAACGCGAGGCCGTACATCTGCGCGCTATGCAAAAAGAAAGCTTCGAAAGGAACGCGAATATCTTTCCACCGGTAAGTTCGTGGATTGTTGAACTTCACGAAACTGCTCTGATGATGTAACCGTGTTTGGGACCCCGAGGGTCTGCCTGCATGATCCGCCGCTTGCGGCAGCCAGAATGTATGGGAAAATGGCGGACCTTTTCCTCTAGAGTTAGTATGTAGGATCTCTATGCTTTGTGGGGACCCTCTCCCTGCCTCCTCCGCTCTCCGTGACCTTGCCGCTCCCTGCCGCCGTACTGTCGGGCGCTCCTTCGTTCCCCGTGACCTTCCCGTTTCCTGTCGCCGTCCTGTCGCGGAACGTCCGAACTCTCCGGGAGGAACGGGGCAAGCGCCCCCTCACCCAGCGCTGACGTCGGAGGGTCGGCTTGCAGCAATGTTCCCGATTGGACGGTCGGCGGGACAAGGACTTGGGAAGGTCTTAAGAGGGGAACGGAGACAAAGGAAGAAGGCTTGGGCTGCCGACTAGACAAGGGACTGGTCATGGAGGCGAGCTCGGACGGCGCTGGACGCTGGCGCAGGGAGTGCGGGCACTACGTCGAGTGGCGGACTCGACAAACGGACCGGACAGCGACCCTGGACGACGACGTCCCCATGACGCGGTGTGGACGACCACCGCTGGGACTCGGAGAAGCTGCTGTGGCAGCGGACCCTCCCCCGGCCTCGCTGATGACCGTCCCCCGATCCCGAAACCCCCCAAGGCAATGAGTGAGTGAATAAACCCTTTTGCCGAGAGCGAAATATTGAAGTGTCATATTCATCCGGAGACAGGGTTTGTGGGAATCGGAGGTAGAAGATGCCCGCATAAACTGGCGCCGCAACGTGGGGCCTGATTTTTGATCAGGCAGGCATTCCGATTCCTAACCTGTTTCCGGTTGAATTGGGGCACTGTTTCGCGCTCTTTTTGGGGGTCATCTTTGTCGCGGGAGCGCCGCACGAAGTTTCGTTGCGGGAGCGCCGCACGGAGGCCCTGACATGATCGCCTGTCTGACTAGGAGGCGCAGATTTTGACCGCTGTTTTAAGGGATTAACCCTTTTTCCCAGCCTGTCAGGAACTTACTTATCCCCCGTTACAAGAAGCGCCATTAGTCTTTTGCTGTTCAGCGCGCCGATGAATGCTGGCAGGTTGATCCTGCTAGACAAGAGCGCTGTGTGCGTCGAAATTGCCGCACCCCTCGAGGCCTGTAGCGTCGGGCGTTCCCCCACCTACGCCTCCGGCCGTCCGCGTCCGCTGGGAAAGATGCCGGCTCACGGTTTGGGAGATGTGACGCGCCTAACCGCCTTTGTTCGCGTATCGATGTAATGGTTTGTAACGCTTGTTACTGATCGGACGCGTTAAAGAGGCATCGCTTTGGGTGGAGAACGCTCCCATTGCGGATGGCGGTTGCATGGACTGTGTTTAGAAATTATTCCCGCATTGCATTTTGTCCGTGAGGAGACTAGCGTCTCGGTTTGACCGCATGCTAGCTCCCAGTTGGCCTTGCTTGAGCTGTCAGCGCGGTTTTGAGCTTCGTTAATTTACAGCGTCTCAAGGTACGGATGCGCTCTTGTGGTTCCGACCAAAATCGCTTTGAACGAGTACCTTGCGGCCAGAGGCTACATTTAGGGGCTAAGCCCACTAAATCGTGCCGGATACGCGATGTCTGGTGCGCAGATATTGGAATCCAGAAAGCCACAGAGTTTCCGTTTTCACTTTATCAGTGGCTGTGCGTGTGTAATGCTCCGTGGAGTCCAGTCTGACGCGATGGGGATGACCCGTGCGTTTCTAGTTGTAGAGTCGTGAGGTTGATTCCGTTTAATTGTGCGCACAGTTGGTTCCGGATCCTCACACCGCTATATCGATGGTTGAGCCTCGCGGCGGGAGTTACTCTATCATTTTGTTTTCTCCGCCTCCGGAGGGGCGGCGGCTAGCGCGCGCTTTGCGCTGCCGCCGGATGCAGTACGGTTCTCGGCCGTGCTTTGGTTCGCGTTGGGACGCGAGGGCGTAGAGAGCGTAATTGGTCGTGCAGAGGCCTGGATTAGAGATAAATTATAAATTTAGGGGAGAAAAGACAGCTAGGTAAGAAAAGAGCTGGGCTCGTGCAGTGAAGAGCTGCACGAGGGGAGTGGCGGTCTTGCGAGGATATGTGACGAGTGGTTCATAGTTTTATCCTGTACAGATGCGCGGTTGGCCCGGAAAAACGTACGGTTCACGTCGGCGGTTACGT